TCTAATCCAAATCCACACCCGGGCTTTAGAAACATAAAGGAACAAACCCCTTATTTCCTCTCAAATTAGGTGCAATTTCAATCACGCCCGCTGATCACACTGCCGTCACCATGAGCAGACACATGACCTTCACATGGAAGATTACCGGCAGGAAGCCTCTGTCACGGCACATAAAAGCGTCTCCTCGCAGCAATTAAAGATAACAAAGTGGGCTTGCTGTTGAAAACATGGAATCATAAGCACTTTATGTAATTCTTGTCTTCATGTGAGCAGTGAAGCGGCTCCCCCCCCCCCCACCCCTCCCTCATGGCAACAACATCAAAGTCTGGTGTCAGTTTTGAAGTTGAGATCCGCAGAATGAAGGACGTGTAACAATTTGTGGAATCTGATCTCTGTTGAGGCCTGTTGTAAGTGATGAGGGAGGGCATTTTCCCCACAAACACCTGCAATCTAATGATCTATTATCTAACTATGTAGCAGTCTATTTATAATTACATCCTCCAAGTCGCAGTCTTGTGGTCTTGCATTGGGTTTTATTACTGCAAAGTTTTTTAAACATCAGTTCATTCAATAAGTGTCACAAACACATTGAAAACAAGGCAAAGCCTCAACACACCTCACGGTGCTTCCTGATCGATGCTACTTCCTCTATATTCAGGTTTTACTCGGTCTTGTAGTTTCACCGAGGGGTGATATCCCTGTAATAGGTTCAGTGACCTGTTTGTTGTGACACTAGCCCACAGTGGATTCACTTCTTCCAAACTGTGTCAAATACATATAACCCCTGCATAATTACCTTAACGGTAAAGAGTTCCTCTGTCAAAGGCAGAGTTAATTGAGTATCACGTTGAGCAGTGTGCTTCATGTTTCTATACTTAAAGAAATAGTGTTGTGGAATGTGCTTATTCGCATTTGCATGTGGTAGGCTGACTGGGCTTCTTACCAGGGACAGGGGAGACGCGTGGTACATTGGGTCTGGGTACAGGTGTAACAGGCACCCCAACATCTTTCAATGAAAACATTGAGTTGCACTTGACAGATTTTCGGTTGCTAACACTGGCGCCCTGCTAACTCTCTGCAAGAAGGTGAATAAGAGATTCCTCAAAATGTCAAACTGTTCTCTTCAGTATATCCAAAGCAATAGGAACAAAAAAAGAATTATTCAGACAGATGCCAGACATAAAGCTGCTTTATTCTACCTTTTAGTGTAGATGCTGTAAAAATGCTGTTTGATGTTGTACTCAAGATCAGTCATTCTGCTTTCTTCTCCACCTTCATGAGAAGTATTTAGCTGTCCACTCTGTCTCATATGCTCAGCATTCACTGTCGACTTTAACTCTTTTTCACAACATTCACTTTTTATTGTTTTGCAGCAGAGGGGATGTCAACTGTACTGAGAAATGGTCCCATTTTTAAAGCCTAGCTGTGGGCCCAATATGAAGAAAATGGCCGCATCGTCTAATTGCATTTGTTAACAGGCAGGAGACGTTTCAAGTCAACAAATTAAGCAACTAAATTGTATTACAGATTTGTGGGTCAGATTCAGGCTGGGTCTGGCCCCAGACAGCACAGCGGTCTGTGAGAGCAAGAAGTTGCAGGTCTGAGCGCTGTGACCATAAATAGTTTCCAAGTCCCGAAGAATGATGCTATATGTCTTTGCTCATCCTTAATGATGTAGCGCCAGACACGACGGCCCTGTTGAAGTATACAGCTGGCAGTGAACGGGCTGGTCAAGAGACGAAAATAGAATCCTTTGTGTTGCGTTGTTCTCCAGAGGTTTTTCCTGTGGAACACATTTAGATGAGTAATACCAAGTGACCGAGAGAAAGATGGGAGGTTTATACTGAAAAGACCTGTGCAGGGCCCCCTCCTTCTCTCTTTCTCTCGGGAGGTTGAGGAAAAAAACATTCTCCTGATGAGTTGAATCACGGGTGAGTGTGCATCCGTGTGTACCTGCGGGATACACAGTGTGTTGGGGAGAACCTGTTCCTTTAAGTCTGCGTCGGTGAGTGTGACGGCACACGTGCTCTACCTCTTTTTTATGGCTCCGTGTCCATGCTCAGCTCTCCTCCCACCAGTCTCTCCCTCTCTGCTTCATCAATCACTTAAGCTCTCCCGCTGCTCACAGCAAAGCCGGACCAATTAGGCCTCCTAATTGAGCCAATTAGCAATTAAACACTCAGATGCACCCCGAAATTCCGGAGGTCCCTCCAGGGACACTAACAGTCTGCCAGGACCTTGGAATTGAACCAAGTATTCCGGCTCGTTGCGGGCAAGAGGAGTCCAGTTGGCCCCCCTCCTCGGCCTCTTGGATGTGTGTCTTTTAGACGGCCGCTTCTCTGAGAGACTCCAGGGTCAGTGAAGCAGCACCTCATGTGGCTTTTCGCTCGAGCACTCCAAAGAGTCTCTGCTGACCGGAGAGAGGCTTTCCATTAACACCAGGACCTGTTTCCTCTCCATCTACATTCTCACTTCTCATTATCGCTCTCTTTTCCATCTCCCATTCCCTTTTATGTCTTTTGGAAGGATGAAAGCGTAATGGTAAATTGTTGGATGCATGTGTGTGTGTGTGTGTGTGTGTGTGTGTGTGTGTGGGTGGAGGGGTCGTCCCTGCGCGCTCTGCGCAGCGAGCCGGCCTCTAGACTCTGTGGTTTAATTAGAGCTCGCATCGGGCTGCCCGCTCCTCTGTAAGAGAGTATATGCTCCCAGACACACACACACACACACACACACACACACACACACACACACACACATACACATACACATACACATACACATACACATACACACACACACACACACACACACACACAGGCGCGTGGGTGGAACAGAGAAGTCCACAATGAGTAGGAACAAAGGCAGCCGCCAATAAATTTAGGTGGAACACACTGTACCAAAAGAAGACAATGAACAATTACAGACGGCTACGGACTCGCTTGCAATTACCGCTCGAAGAGCTTGTTGTACATAAGAAACTTTATTATTACATGAAGGAGCTTCCCTATTTGTGTGTCTGTGAGAGTGAGACTGCTCGCCTGCTCATCAGCCTATAGACTCTCATTATCTGCCGTCTTGCCTCAGGACACTTAACTCCCATACTTTCAAATTCAAACGGCTTTATTGGCAGTGGGAGAGGGCGGTAGGGGGATGGGAGGGGGGGAAGACAACAAAAACACAGAGGCGCTCCAGTGGGTGCAGGCGATCCAATAATACGGTTAATGATGACTTGCTTAATGGGACAATTAAGGCATGACGATAAAGCAAAGGGAGAAGCGTGAAAGAGGTAATGGTGAATTGTAAAAAAAAAATCGGATAAGATGGAAATAGAGCGTCCATGGGAACATAAAAGAGATTTCTCTGTCTTTATTACTGCTATAGGGTGTTGGCCTCCTACCGTTACATAACACCACCCAACAATGCCATGACGCGGTAATCTCCTCCATGCCTCGTGCATTTCGGACTGGGTCAGTTACATGAGGATTTGCACATTTCCGCAGTAGATTACATGGATGAGTGTACAGTGTGTGGGAACTTATTCATGTGTGGGTCAATTAAGGCTTACTGCGTGCATGTGTGTGTGTCTTTGTGCTCTGCGTGTAGCCCAAAAATGCCCGGGCTGTTATAAGCTGCTTACAGGCGCACATTGTTGACCCTTGACCTAACTGGGCAGTGAAAGGCTCACCCTAATCCCAAGCCTCTACTCCTCGCCCACGCTGTCTACTGTACTCGGGCTGAAAGGATTCCTCGAGAAACTGAAGTGGCTCCAATTACTAAAGATCATGGACGCAAGGAGAGGAGAGCTAGTTGACGTTAGCTGCTAACAGCTAGCAGCTAGCAGCTAGCAGTTAACAGCTAACAGCTAGCAGCTAACAGCTGTCCAACAGCTGGTGGACAGTCCTGCTTGACTAAAGAACTGCGCTAGCAGCGAATGTTAAACGGAGGTTCCGTTGAGTTATAATATGATGTGTTCAAGCTCTGTTCGGTAAAAATTTGTATTGGGAGAAGGTGAATTATAACGCTATCATGGTGTGTTCAAATGTTATCTTGTAAAATGTAGTTTTTGGTGAGATACTTGAATAAATACAGTTGTTTTCACAGCAATAACAACTCTAAGCCTAAACTGCTAATGCCAAGATTTTTTTAATCAAAGCAATTATTTAATTAAAAATTCAATCATTTATTTCCCTAATAATATGAATTGTGTTTTCATGCAAATAACCCCTATAGATGAAAGCCAGAAGAGTACTTTTGACAGATAATATTTTTGTATTCAGTTTAAGAAAAAATATGATGAAGCAAACCAATTACTTGTCATATTTTCTCTTTTGTGTATTAATTATTCCTCCTTAATAAAGCAAAATTGTATTTTATCCAATTGATTAATCAATGTAATACTCAATTACTAAAGTAAGTGCCCGATACGATAGTTTCCTAAACTGAGGCTAAATATTGAGGCACCAGTAGCAGTGTCTACATCAGCTGCAGGAGCTCTCTGCAGGGTTGTGTTTGTATGCTGCAGGGTCACACACAGTTCTCCTGGAGAGGATTGATGCATGTCTTCATACAGGTCAGACCAGGACAGAGTGGACTCGTCTGTTTTTTGCGAGTTAGATTACATTGCAAAAACCAGACAACAGATCACGAGTATTACATGCTGGAGAATTCAGTTTGTAATTGTGTGAAGCGAAACACGTTGATCGTGCCGTAAAAAGTTCCCAAAATGAGTCTTTTTGACTTCATCTCAACAATGCTGTCTGTCGTTTCATCTCCACTGCTTTCATTTCAGGAAATGTTTTTCACTTGGCAACAGTTGAAGGGCGAATGTTGCACTGACAACTTTTAATGGAATATATTTCTGCTTCAGATAAACTATAATCTCTCTTATCTTTCTCCCCCCCCCCCCCCCCTCTGCCACCCTCTGTCTTTCTGTTTTTCGCTCTGTGTATCCCTATCCTTTAAATCTCCCTCCTCCTCCCCTTCTCTGCCTCACCCTGCAGAATTCTGTGGCTGTTAAAAAACACATTGATCAAATGATCTGGATAATAGAGGACCAATAGGGATGGAACGCAACAGAACCATGACTGGGGAAGCGTTTCGGATCCTTGTTGCTCAGAATCAACACTGACCTGGCACCTGCACCGAGGTCCGGCCTCCTTCTCCGGCACCCCAACGACCCTTCTCTCCCCCAGCGACTGCTTTGCCCTCCATCTCACCTTCACGCAGAGCTCCTGGCCTTGATCAAATCTTCACAAAAAAGCTCCTTTTATTCTTTCAGGGTCTGTCTGCTTTGGTTTTTAAATCCCCTCTTATACTTTACCTTCCAGACTGTTGGTTATAATCCACATTCTCTCACAAAAAGACTGAAGTACTTCAGAACAGACTAAAAGCTGGTGGCTGAACACCATGAATCCAGTCATGTACCCCCTTCCACTTGCTCTAAGTAAACAAAGGGGGCACCCTTTGTTGTCCAGAACGCGCCCCCATAGTCTCATTACGGACTGGTGCCTAATGGGTTTGCTAGGCCTCATTGTGCTCTTCAGCCTGGCCTCGAGCCAGAAAATGGACCCTTCCAAAAACCCCTTAGTCACCACCAACTACGGTAAGATCAGAGGCATCAAGAAGGACTTGAACAACGAGATCCTGGGCCCTGTAGAGCAGTACCTGGGCGTCCCCTATGCCACGGCACCCATCGGCGACCGCCGCTTTCAGCCGCCCGAAGCCCCGGGATCCTGGCAGGAGATCCGCAACGCCACCCAGTTTGCCCCCGTGTGCCCTCAGAATGTCCACGGCGTGCTCCCAGAGATTATGCTGCCTGTGTGGTTCACTGACAATCTGGACGTGGCGGCGGGTTACATCCAGAACCAGAGCGAGGACTGCCTCTACCTCAATATCTACGTGCCCACTGAGGATGGTGAGTGGGCATTGTTTTATGAAGGGTTGGGGGAGGCTGGGAGATGAGGGATTTAGTGGGTGACAGTGGGTAGAATGAATAGATTGACTGTTCTCTAAGCCCCGTCTCCTTAGGTACTCTTGCTATGCCTCTCAAGCTTTCATATCTTCCATTTAATGTGACGTTTGATTGGCCCACTACTGCAGCAGCTACAACCCACACAGTCTGGATTGTCTACCTGCACAGAGATGCCTGGGCTGCCATCTAACAGCTAACAGCGCTAACAACAGCAACAGTGCTGAGAAAGCTAACAATTGTAAGTACCTTCGTGAGAGGGTTGGAAACGACCGGCTCACTTTTTTAGATATTTCCAGTCGACTCATTTAAAACAAGAACCCTGTAAAGGGGTCTAAACAGCCTCGTATCCCAGGCACAAAATCTGCATCCTCACAGGCTCGTGATCCATGTAGAAACCACCATCCACAGCTCCTACTACAACCCCATGCACACCACTTCAGCATGCAGACACGTCCAAAGCTTGACAGGCCAGCTGTGCCTAGTTACGGTTGCTACGCTATGATTGGACAATCGATGTTCAGTGGAGGGGTGTAGGGAACGGTCAATTAGTACCACTCATGATGGAGAGGAGCCTAGGGAAGTTCACGTAATGTGGAAAAAATGTCTGGAAAACTCTTGTGAATGTCTACATTTTTTTCCATATACATGCACTATTGCATATGCATGGTGTGTGTTTGTGTAGGGGCTTATATATATATATATATATATATATTTTTTTTTTAAAAGAAATAGTGTGCAAAATTTTCTATGGATAATTTTTCAATTACCCTACCCTGGTTTTACAGTCCTTCCCATTCAAGGTGTTGTAAAGCAAAAGAACAAAGGCCAGGACTGAAGCCGTGTCCAAGGTGCTTTATGAGAAAAAGATTAGGTGACATCTGACTTTTTCTCTTTTCATCAAGAAGCCTCTTCTCTCAACTCAGATCTTTCCGCAGACGTTTTTTGTCTGCCCAGGCACTCTGAGGTGTGCGAGCAATAAAAGAGAAATATTTCCATTTTGTTGGCAGATATAAAGAGGAGAGACTTCCACCAGCTCTCTCTCTCTCTCTCCTCGCCTAGGATATTGTATAACGTGTGTCACGTTTGTCTCTTCATTTCTATATCTCTGCACAAAGCCAGCCCCTTTCACAAAGAGAAGGCTGTCAGGTTTCCTCATCCAGAAACTGTCTCTTGGTTTGACCTCAAACAACTGGAGGTCTTCAGAAAGCAACTTACTGTACTAACACAATGTGGGTTTTTTTTTCCTGTTTTTTCTTGATAAGCACACACAAGTTTTGTGTCAAGTCAACTAGAAAATAATCCTCCATCACCTGCTTTGACGGTATCAATACCAGCACGTGTGTGCCTTGATGTTTGCATTCATCTGTGTCTCTCTTGCTGCCTGTATGTCGGTGTGTACGACAGTGTAGTGATGAGGCAGTGATTTCCACCCTGAAAAAAATGCTCGAACACATTTCGGTCGCCCTGTCAGCACTTCCATCACTCGACTGGACTTTCTTTTTTTTTCAGCCCCTCACAGCTCAACACGCTTCCTCCCTTCCTTCCTTCCTTCCTTCCGCCTCTCCGCTCCAACACCGCAGCCTCAGCCCTCGACACCCTGTCATTGCCACTTACAGCTCCTCGGGCACATATAGAACACTATACATCAGGTCTGGACTCATTTCGCAGTCTTGCACAGCTTTTTTTCTTCTTCCTGTTTTGTGAGACTTGTGATATAATACAGAGAGAGATATACACCCCGGCCTCTCGCTCACACACTGTCCCAGAGGTGTACAGTGCACTCGCTGGAAAAAAGTCACACAGGTGTAGAATAGTGACCTTCATTCATCAACGGGGAACAGCAGCGTTACATCGTCAGCATAATACTTCAGCGGGGCGGATGTTTAATGCATTAGAACAAAGTCATACATTTCAACATCTATAGTAGAACAAATATGATTTAATTTGGTGTTAAAAACATGCAGCGCCAACGTATGAAACTTGCTTCATCCCTCATAATCGGCACTGTTTGATTCATGATTCAGGCATGACATTTGCTGGCCTCAGCACTTATCCAAAAGCTCCAGGGGTTGTCTTTCTCTCTGCTCGTCCTTTCCTCTCTGCTTCCCCTAGTTTTACTTTTTTTTTTTTTTTTTTTACATGTGCTGCTTGGTGAGGGAGGGGAGGCAAAGAGGAAGCAAGAAAAGCAGAGAGGAGGAGAAAGCTTTTGGCCAGTAGATCAAAAATCAGACACAACGCCACACGAGGTTGAATATGCTCTCACGATGACTCTCTCCTCTCGCTGTCCATTCCCCTTCTATTCTCCTTACTTTGTAATAATGAATGCTGCATCTCTGAGTCTCCTGAGGCCTTTTACGTGTATCCTCTTTATAGGGCACCCTTAAAACAGAATCCTTCTAAACCTCCTCTAATTTTAAGTGGATTAAGGCTGCAGAATTACTGCTTAATGCTGCCATCAGTGCAAATGGAGGAAAGTGGGACACTGACAAGAATGTGTGTTTGTTAGATAAACACACGCGCAAACATTTGCTGCTTACCCGTGGCCCCTTAATTAATACTTAAGTACTTAATAAGTTGCTAAGCTAGCCATGTGTTGACATTTTTTTACTAATTCCATGGCGCGCATGAAAAAATATGTTTCTGAAATTGTAATACTTTGAGGAAAAACAAACAAGAAAGGGAACATAACTAATCATGTTACAGTAATGATACAAAATTACACTTGTTATCTATCTGATTTACAGAAACTTAATCTAATGTTGGAAATGATTTTAAGTTGTATTACATCCAGTACATGAATATTTTGGAGTCTGGAACTGGAGTGGATATTTGTTCTTACTTCATCAATCATACGTTTTAACATTGTCAACGCACCTAATGATTCATTATGTACACGTTATTTAATAAAAGGACAGATTATGGAACCATATACAAGCAAATACGTAAAGCACAATATTAAGAATACATCAATGGTCATTGGAATACCGCTATCGGACCTTAGGACCCAGGGGAACTGGATTTGCCCCTCCGGCAGGTGGCTCCTTCACCGAATGCTGGGAGGGAGGGGCTCCGACGGTTCCCCTGGAGATGACATCCCATAAATCATAGCGAGAGGTTTTCATCTGGCTCCTGCAGAGTCACAGTGGATCGATGGACGCGGGGAAGGGAGGGAGCGACCGGCTGCTGCTGCTGATGCTGCTGATGCCTCAGGCTCACCGACAAACCGCATGCTTCTCTCAGCAGTCAGCAACCATTAACAAGGAGCAAGGCTTCATGGTAAATAAGTCGGAGTAGCTGAACTCGGCAGCTCCTCAAATGGGAGCTCGCTGTAAATGTTTGCCAACACACAGCATCTCATACACGAGGAACCGTGGCTTAGATGTTAGGTGAAGAAGGAAAATCTCGATCGTAGAACAACAACACCTGCAGACAACACCTTTCCTGGCTGAGTAGTCTTTTGCATATATTGCGATGTACCATTTCCTTAAAGGAAGTCTAGCCTTTTATATTCATCTGTTCCTTCCCGCCTGTTTCCCTCAAATCGCCTCCCACCCATTCGTGTGACAATTTGTGATTAGCTTCGGGCCAACCAATATACAGTATCAATATGCATGTCCCACTACTGAAGACAAGCCTTTCAGTTGGGCCTCTGAGGCATCTGACTGTGACACCCTGCTGGTGACTGGTGTAAACAGCATTTTAAGATCAATAATTCCTAAATATAAGCTTTTATTTCTGAAATAAAACCGACAAGTATGGATCTTGAACATACGGAGGCGGACTCCGCCACCCCTAGAAGATTTATTGGTGGTCGGCTGAGGTTTAACCCTGATGAGCTGTTACAAAATGCCTTTTAAGCTGCTAGTTCTATTCAATTAGGCCTCTTGGAGGAGAATATACATCAGTTTGCCAGATAATCCTCTGGGATTTGAACCGCTAACCTCAGCGTTGTCAGCTCCGTGCTTCTCGGGCTGAGCTGCAGGGTGCAAAGCTGGAGGCCTTATAAATTATTCCATCCAATACTTCATCTATCTCCATGCATCAAACTCAAACTCCCACATCTCCCCATTCTGCAATATTTCAATTTTCTGAGGAGATTCATCAAGAAGGGTTCGATACTAACACGATAATGGTGGTCCGAGGGCCGCGCTGCGACATCGGCACCGCCAAAGGGCTCGAGATGAATGAATAAATGAAAGAGATAAAACAAACAAATAAATAATGGAGAGAGAGATGCCGGCATGCAGCAGTGCAAAAAAAAGAAATATATTGCTTCCGATGCCCGAAAAAACCTTGATTATTCTGCTCCATCTCTTTCTTTCTCCTGCCAGGCCCAGATGATACCCTCTAAAGAACAGCAATGGGATCAAAAAAGGGATGATGGGGAAAATAGATCACCATCTTTCTGCAGGCAGAATACACTTCCCTTAGAATGAACAATTGCTGTTACATACTGTATGGTCCTGTAGCTCCCAGGGGACAGGCACCCCCTCGCACACACACACACACACACACACACACACACACACCCTTTATCACAAAACTAAAAGTTTACTTTGATGTGAGCACGCTTGCCAGAACTGAAGGAGACCAAACACAGAACTTAATAAAGCAACAAGGACAGATTGAGAAGCAGAGAGTCAGATTTGAAGTCAGGCATCTCTAGGTGGTTGTCATTTTAGAGAGGGTAGACGTCAGAGCAGAGGGCTTCATCCATCCTCTGGTCCATCCCTTACAAAACCAAATCAGATTGAGTCCGTCTTCTTTGCTCTTTCGCCTCCTCCCTGTTCCACCTCCCTCCTCCCCCTCCTCCCTGTTCCCCTCTACTCCATCCTGAGGCACAGTGGAGCAGACAGCAACAGTCCTGCTCGGTCAAAGGCTTTGTCTTACTCCGGGAGGTCGGTGGGGGTGAAGAGAGAATCGAATCAGCCGGGGTCGGTCAC